ATCTAGCGCATGGGTTACGCCCACCTCGACTGGATCAAGGCCTCGGCTCCGTAAACCAAAGAGAAAGGTGGCACCGGTACTAGTCCTTTCGGTTGTCCGGTAGGCCCATTGTGATTTCGGGCAGCATTTCGTCTCCATTTTCCTTTTGCGTCTGTAACTTTTCTTAGTTCTGAACGATGGTTTGTTGTCGACTCAGCCTGCCCGTTTTCGGTGGGATTGGTACCGGGAGCTTGACATACCCTCTGTGATCTTGTTTATCCTCGAATGAATTTTGCATACTTGCTCCCAATGAATGTTTCCCATTTCATCATACTATTTCGGAAGGCAGTCCCGAAAACCGACACAAACGACGTGGTCAAAGGAAGTCGATTACTCTTTCTCTCGAACCTTTTCGGTAAGCTGCGCGTTTCAACCCATTGGAAAATAGTCAGTAACCAAAAATCAAATTGCGCCTTACCTGAGAGCTCGAGGAAGCGGGGCCAATGTCCATTCCCCATTTCATGGCAAGGCCATGGGAGAGACGAATGCAGGCTCAGCAGGCTGATGGATGAATGGCGCATGCCTTTGACAGCCTGTCGCATCTTCGTTACAATTCCTTGCTCCTGTTCATGTTGACCCAGTAGTATCCAGCTCGAATTATTTTTCGGACCAACGCATCCGCGCCCGAATGGTTGCCACATGACCCTTCGGATTTCCCTTAATACGTACTCGTGTGTCTCCGAAGCAAGGCATTGGCGAGTGGTCCTCCGAAGGTTCTTTTATATAAGACTCCGTCCTCGGCCAAACAAAAACGGGCCGCTTTTGTTCTCAATGCCCTTGATTCATTTGGGGTCCTGTGGGAGTTTTCCTGTTTTTAGATAGTCCACATACCTGTTCTCCAGTCCCAAGTAAGGCTAGTTGAGTTGACCTCGGGGTGCCCTTCTCTACGACCGACCTCATTAGCTGTACCACCTTTTCGGACTGAGGCTCGTCGTCCTCGACTGTCGAGCCAGACTTGGCGAGGGCTCGGCCTCGCTGTTTTGTTCGCGGGTACGTGTTGGGGAAGCCATTCTTTGAATTTGGTGCAAAGGTGTTTTGGAGTTTGTCGACATACCTTGCGATCGCGCTCTCCCTGGCCTCGAACGTTTTGTCCGTCTGATTTACCACAAGAAGAGAATCGGCACTTGGCTTCGCTCACCTTCGGCGCCGAGGCTCCTGGCTACTTCTAACCTGCCCTCCTAGCCTCCTACTCGGCTTCCTTGTTAGTCAACCTCCTCGTCCGTATAGACTGCCTAATGACGTCCCCAGTAGGGTTTTTAGATATGTCCCAATCCGACCCCTTTACTTTCGAAGCTCCGTCCGTGAACAATGTCATACTCGGACGGAGTCCCCGAGCTCAAGCAGGAGCTCTTTTTCGACCAGGGGAATAAGTGGTCGTGTGAAGTCGGCGATAAAATCAGCCAATACTTGCGACTTAATCGAGGTTCGGAGGTCGATATTGGATATCGTACTCGCTAACCTCTATGGCCCACTGTGGCCAGCCGGCCGACAATTCGGGCTTATGCATGACATTTCTTAATGGGTATGTATTACAAATGTATGGGGTGACTTTGGAAGTATGGCTTCATTTTCTTGAGGCACTAATTAGGGCTAATGCCAATTTTTCTAGGTGAGGATACTTCGTTTCCGCTTCCCCTAGTGTCCAGCCTTACTTACGTAGTAGATGAAACTGGGTGCCCTGTTCTTCCCTAACTGGACCCACTGACGGCTACTTCCGATATGGCCAAGTATAAGGTATAGAGGCTCTCTGATTTTCGGAGTATGCAACAAAGGTGGATTAGAAAGGTACCTTTTGAGTTCCTCTAGGGCGTGCTAGCATTCTTGCTCCCCACGTGAAATCATTACTTCTTCTTTAGAAGATTGAAAAATCGATGGCTCCTATCCGAGGATGCGGGATATGAACCGGCTCTAGAGCACTATGCGCCCCCGGTGCAGCCGTTGGACGGCTTTTACGTCTCTCGCAATCTTATGTCCTCGATGCCTTACATCTTATCGGATTGATCTCCGATTCCCTGTTGACACCATAAATCCTAATCTCTCTCTTTCCCTCACCCGGTCTAGGCAACCGGGAGTGATTAGGCTGATATACTCCGATGCCGGTTCGCCGCGGCCCGGGACCGATGATGGGTTTTCAACCTGGAAGTCGGCAGATACCGAGCAACCAGTCGGTGTAAAAGCTTTCAATGGGGGTTCTGGCGCAGGTTCATCAGATCTAGCGGGGCTCGCAGACGAGCTTGGTCTAGAAGGAACACTTTGTGAAGTTTTCGCCATTTCTTGAAGCTTTACGAAGAGATGAAAAGAAAATACAACCAACGCAAAATTTGAGAAAGATAAGAAATGTTGAACCTGGAAGGGTCGTTTATACTTTTCCCATGAGGCGGTGGCACGAATCGCGAAGTTGCAGACACGAAGCGACAGATAATTAAGAGAAGCATTAAATGCCTGCAGCAGACGTGGTCAGAGCACTCGATGGCTTTTTCAGCTGGCGTATGGCCATACGTCACGGGCATCACGTCACCGATCATATCGCTTATTGTCATTACTCTCTAATAAACGAGGGGACTATCTGTATTGGGTGATACCCTTTTTGCTTGAGCCCGACCGGGTTGGGTCCGGTCCGGGGCAAGTCGGGGCCATCGAACCCGACCTGGATGCAAGGTAGAACGACGGCCACGTCAACAACCGAGGTCGAGTCATTTCGAGACCGTTGCAGAGCTCGATATGAGTCACCACCGGATGGAGAAACACACAAGGTCGGAAGCCGGACTCGTAACGGATAACCAAGCGTCGCCGGATATCTCGCCCAAACGTGATTTTCTCAACCACTTCAGGCCATTAAGGCGTAATTACAGGGATCCACGATGTAATTAATTTACCTACCTTATTTTTACCCTTAATCAGAATGTATAAAAGGGGAGAAGACCCCATAAAGAGGGGATCGGAAACCATTACACTACAGTACCATCTCTCTCAATTCTTGTACGCTATCAAGCACAATTGTTCTAAGCAATATTATATTCTGCGATTATTTACTTTAACAGCAATTGTTGAGTCTTTATCTTTTATTTTCCTCAATCCAAACCTTTTGTATCTTTTAGTTCACGGATCCTTAAAACCCCATATAAATTCAATTGTTATCCGGATTCCAGGGTAAACACTTTTATTTCGTTATTTGATATATTTCTTTGAATGCATATCGAGTATTTTTCTAAATTTTCATAATTATGATTCCAGTAATGCCGGATTTACGTATTCAGTCAATAAGATCCTATTAATCTCACTCAAATAGACACTGATTGCGAAATTCTATGTATTTGATTAGAATTTGCCAAGTTTATTGAGAAAAACAAAAGTGAATTATTTTGTTAAGGAACTCCTCTCATTTTGCATATTTGTCATTATAGTTAGAAATGATTTTAAGATAGTGGAAAGTTGCTAAAGCTATAAAACTTATTCCTCTTTTTCTCTTTATCAATTTTCTACTATTAGTTGTCACTATATCATTAGCCAAAAGAAGAAATTTTCCAAAGAAGAAGAAATTTTTTAATGCATTTTTCTCTTTACGTCCTCGTCTTCTTATATTTACTTTGAGAATAAATGGTCATTTTCCTTTATTTGACGTCAAGAAGGATTGTAGTAGGTTGACAGCCGACATAAAACTAGTTATACTTAACACGTAAAATGAAGCAATATGAACAGTGAGAATTCATATAATCAATTCCAATTTGGGATTGATAGTAAGTTAGGAAGGAATAGCTTGTCAGGTGAGGCGAGTAGCATGGGAAAAAAATTCCTTGGCAGATAGTAGTATACACTCTCACTAGACATATCTGGCGCGAATTCGAATTAATCAGACTCACATACACAAAATGTCAAAAATAGAATAAAATAACATTTCAGACAAATGATTTGGACGTTAATTTACCTTATCAGTTGATTGGATTCATCACTCAATATACTGGTTCTTTGCAATACAAATAGGTAACTAGGCCTGATTTTTGTTCTTTCTTATCTCAAGTTCAAGAAGATAAAGGCTATAACTACTCGGAATTCCCCATAAAACCATCAAAGTTCCAAAAACTGCAGATTTTATCAAATACTTTTCTTTGATGCATAGGCGGACCTTGGAGCAACGGAGAAGTACTGGCATTTCTACAGCTCGTATATTGGAAGCAGCCTCTCCAATAAGGAGGTAAGGCTGTCTACATTCGCCTTTCCCCGAGCCCACCTGGACGAGAGCCTTCTGGTGCTGGAGTCTGCCTTATACTGCTCTTTCGCGTGATAGAGAAGTTGATATCAGTGGCGAAGCCAGGGGAAATTCCCCTAGGGTATTCAAACTTGAAAGAAGTACCCGACAAAGGATGTTCAATATATGTTATATACACAGTGTAATTTTCTGACAAAGGCTGATCAATTGACCAATCTTACCAGAGTGTAGCTTCGCCCCTGGTTGATATATGAGATATTGAGCTTGCCATTAATAGCCATAGCATATACTAATCAATAGGATTTCTCATGTCTTCTTTTAGCACAATAAAAGATGGGGAACTACTTCCTGTTATTTTCAGCTACAACTTCAAATCCACCTCTTCAGAGAGTTTAAAATGTATTGAGAGACAAATGCCTATAATTACAATAGATTCTAATTCCTTAAGAAATGAGAAGATGCACTTTAGACAATCTGCTCATCTTAATGACACAGAAAAAGTAAGAACTTCATTTTCCTTTAGCATGATCCTCTTTATGTTAACAACTTGAGTAATAGCATTACTTTATTGAGGCGTAGGGTGTACGCAGACCTTACCCCTACCCTACCCTACCCTGGGAGGTTGTTTCCCGTTAGACACACCGCTTAAAAAAAAAGATGAAAAGAAGCAGCGGCGACAAGCAATAGCAACAATAAGATATTAACAAGACCGAAGCAAAAGATAGCAATCAAACAGTAGGTAGGGACAGCGATCCAAGAAAGGAACACAAATAACATTTTGATTACCAAATGAAGGGATGTGCAAGTGTGAATCAGACGCCTATAACAAAACTGAAGAGGTACAAACTAATGAAACAATTTTTTACTTTTCAGAAAAGAAACTAATACCAAAATTTTCCTAAAACATAGAGACGTACATGGATTAGCTGGAAGAAGTGCATGTATTGATCCCGTCCTTGCAGTCTTTAGTGAGATCATTAAACGTCTCAATCTGTTTTTTACCCCTCAAGAAAACTTCTGTATCTACTGAAACCCTCATGTAACCATCAAATTCGACAGGACTCCCACCATTAAGCTTTGCTGTCTCCGGGTACCATTCACTGTTTTCGTCCCAGAGATCTCTATAGTCATTGAGGAAATGTGTGGAATACTTATCCTTTAAAGGATTAAAAAAAGATGTATCGGGCTCATTTGTTGCGATATATAGGTTCCTTCCATCGTCAACCTTGTCTTGCAAGCTAGAGAGAAGAGCCTCCGGAGCAGTGTCTTCGGCAAGATGTGGCCATAATTCCCTGTTCCTCGCCTTCTCCCCTCTCACAACGTGAACTGAGTCGTAATCCCAATTCAACCTTGAAGCAATAGCCGAAACAATATCCATCAGTCGCCTTGACTTCCATACCAGATGCCACGGCCGTTGAACAACAGATTCAGTCTCACCTTCACATACCCTGTACCAGTAATTATCAGGCTCCACGTTACCGAACTTCCTCATGATTAAGGTATCCTTCAGTCCAGATAACTTCATGGGTGTAACTCTAAAATCTTCTACGAGATGGAGAGTTAATCCATCTTTTTGGTGCCATTTTTCCCAATCAGACCAAAACTGTTCCTGATCAAGAACTGATGCCGAATCCTTTAAATGCTCGAAGTCAAAGTAAAACCTGAAATCCTTTCCTTCCTCGTCTACACCAGACGAAGTGTATATCTTGGATAAACAAATACTCAAGTCCATTATCAACGTCCTGTTCAAATATTGTGCCTCGCCTAACGCACACATAAAGCTCCAGAGATAATGGTTCATGCTCTTGCACCTATCCCCACCTCCATGATAAATCAAATACTTCCCACGACTGAACGAACTCTCCGATTCCACCACAGGAAGTGAGTCGTTCACAGCTTCACCGACCTCGGGAAGAACAATATTTTGTCCCCCTCCCTTGGCCGCTGCCTTCTCAAATCCCTCATCTAACTTACCTGAAGTTTTGTCCTTATTCTTTCGCTTCCTTTTCCGAGCATTCCCACCAGAATGATAATCACCAATGCTAACCACACTAAGAGTACAGTTCTCCGATCTAGAAACCACAAACTCGCGGTAATCCTTGTAAAATGCAGCAGTCTTTCCCTCCTTAGGCCTGAATCGCCAAGCCATGTGGCAGGAACTATCATTCGATCCACGGACTGACTTCCCAAATCTATAAAAATGTATATCCTTAAATTTCTCAATGGCAGCCTTCATTAACAAATGAAACACATCCGGGTCAGTGCAATCAATGGGTTCATCAGTTTTTCCCTGACAATCAAGATTACCTTCAACGCCACTATCAGTGGCGGGGAGCGAAACGTCGACATCTGTTAGGTTTATAAAGGTAGCAAATGCTGTCTGATTTGCACCAATAAAGTCCTCACCAGTCTTCATAACAGTGTCATCAGCTTTGAATGTGGCATCGGATTTAGATGTAAGGAAATTAGTGATTTTTGTCGAAGGGTGGAATAAAGGGTCTTCAGGCTCATAAGTTGCAGCAATTATAGTGAAAATCAAAACCCCAACTACAAATATAGTGAAACAGAGATTCCCTATCATTGCCAATGCATTTTGCCCCAGATTTTCAGGCCTGAAACTTCCACTACGGGACAGCAAACTTGGCGACCGCCCCGCCATATTACACTCCTTCCAATCACAATCACCAGAAAGAAATCCACAAAAACCTCTTAAGGCCTAAAACACAAAGACATTAAGAACAGAACTCCACAAATAGAAGTAAAGGGTGCTCGAAAAATGTAAACTTTGACAAATTAAAGCCAGGAATTCTATAAACCTCTGAGGCCTAAAACACAAAGACATAATAAAATTCAAAAAATGCAACATTAAACAACAGAACTCCGCAAATAGAAGTAAAGGGTACTCGAAAAATGTTAAATTTGAGAAAACAATGCCAAAAAGTCAGAAAAACCTCTAAAGCCTAAACACACAGAGACATAAAAATCTTCAAAATGTATAATATGTAATAATAGAACTCCATAAATTTAAGTAATGGGTGTTCAAATAATTTGAACTTTGACAAATAAGCCAAGAATTCATAAAAACTTTAAAGGCCTAAAACACAAAGACATTAAAATCTTTAAAATATGCAACATTAAACAACAGAACTCCACAAATAGAAGTAAAGGGTGCTCGAAAAATGTTAAATTTGACAAAACAAAGCCAAAACTTCATAAAAACTCCAAGGCCTAAAACACAAAGTCATGAAAAAAAACTTCAAATTATACAACATTAAAGAACAGAACTCCACAAATAGAAGTAAAGGGTGTTCAAAAAATATAAACTTTGACAAATTAAAGCCAAGAATTTATAGATCTGGGCAAATCTTGAATTAAGGGTTAATGGTGTTAATGGTAAAATGATGAATAAATCAATACATACAGAAGCTTTATATATAAAGATAATTGATTTACCTCATGCAGCTTGAAGATTGATTAAGAACCCTTTTAGCTCAAAATGGATTTTAGCATTATTTCTAAAAGCTGCTTGATTTCCTTATTTTTTGGGTCAGATGTAAAGATTCATAATGAGCGGACTACAAGGGTGTATGCTAAAATGCGCAGGTCACGTTGTATAATTGAGAATCTGACTTGGACAGGTGGAATTTATTGAATCTTGGTGTTATACGCACTAGGCGCATTTTGGTTACTGCAGTGAATATTTTAGTGATAGGAAATTATTGTCATGACACGACACACCGACAAAATCGCTGAGTTATTTGTCTAATTAGGTAAATTTTTGTTTGAGATTGTGATGTCTGCCCCTTAACATTTCCTTGTTAGCCAATTTGTCCTAAAATATTTATTTTTAAACATTTCCTTATTAGGCAATTGTATTTTTTTTTCTTTTTGCATTATAAAGAAATGAGTCATAAAAATGAAAAAAGAAGCAGTAGTACCTCTCTATTACAATTTATATGACATAAGTTAATTCACCACGAAAGTTTAAAATAAAAAAATTTAAAATTTGTGGTTTTAAATATATCATAATATTTGTGTAGTTATAAAAGCTCTTCATTTTATTAGAAGAGTAACCTGGTAGGTTGCCTTTATTTTGTACAGATTGCGGTGATTAATAATATTATTTTATTTTTTTTAAAATACTTCTCATCAAGGATAAAATAAGAAATATATAATTAATTGTTTTCACATTTTTAAAGTGTGTCAATTATTTTGAAACGAACTAAAAAGATGTGTAACATAAACGGGAACACGAGAGTACATAAAAAGCAAGGAAAAAAGAGAACAAAAAGCGATTAATCTTCCTTCAGTGTTAAACCTGTTGTTTCTTGTTATATTTTTCCCCGTCCACCTTTCAAGTGAGGGACGTCAGTAATAGCTACGTTTGACAAGTATGAGTGGGTGAATTAAGTGTATACATGTGTATAGTTAATTTGTTATGCGGGATTTCTTGGAAGGGCGACGTAAGACTAAGCAACCGATGTCCGTGTAGTTACTATTCGCTAACCGAGGTCCCCTCCGTACGCTAGACGAGATTGTTAGTGCCGTACAGAAAAACCAACGTCAAGAGTAATTGAGAGAACAGAAAAGAGAATTGAGAATGGAAGAAAGCTTGACTGCATTAATGAAAGCTATTACAGAAAAGCAACACGGTGTCAAGGGGGAGAGACACCAATATAGAGAATTGTTTGCTTGCTAGAAAGTTTGATTGCTTGATCCCCCTAATAGTACTTAAAACAAATAAATTAAAGTTACAGGACTTTACATAACTAAGTTAGAGAGACATAATGAAAATATATGAAGTAAAACTACTCTATATTTACAATAGAAATGACTTAGATTCCTACAAAGTAGAAGCAGGTCCTGTTGGCAGCAACCTTGTCTTTAGCATCAAAGTCTGTGCGCGCGGCGGTGTCTGCGTTTGCGGCGCTGTTGGCATCTGCCTGCAGCTGGGCACTGGCGAGGGGTACTGGTGGGGCGATATAGGCACAAGTGCGCTTGTCACTTGGCGCGGCCAAGACCACGGGGCAATTCATAACGCTAGGCGTTGGAAGGCTTGCCAGGACGCCATGTGACGCGTCCAAGAAATCATGGAGCATGGCTGGAACGCCGCTCATGACAGTATTTATGCTAGGATTTGAGGTGTTACAGTGGTTGGGACATGGTGATGACTTGAGAAAAGGCTCAAATATGCTACTGAATCTAACGAAAATGCTCATATATACCACTTATAAAAGGGGGTGAGAGGAGTGGAACTGGTAAGTAATGGAGGGTTCAGATAATGCCACGTGGCAAAATCTGATAGTAATTAGATAAAGTCGAGCTCCGTTAGCAAGTAATTGTACGCATCGCTCAAAATGGTAACAATCAGGACATATTTAAGACCAATTATTAAATAGCGGTATATGTGAGCCGTTTCTTAAGTTTTGTGGCATATTTGAGCCTTTTTCCTAATATATTAACTTAATGATGTGAAAAATTTAAATTCTTAATCCGCTTTTTTTATCTGTTACAAGCAAAAAATATTGTCACATAGGCTCTTTTAATCAGTTGGTCATCTCTCCTTCCTAAGTAAAAATCACATGGGGCGCCCTATTTGGTTGCTCTAAATTAACTTGTATTCACTTTTTAATTTTTTTTAACTTGTACCCACTGTTTAAACAACTTCAAGCCTTTTTCTCCTCTTCCTTCCTTCCTTCCTTCCTTCTTCTTCTTCTTCTTCTTCTTCTTCTTCTTCTTCTTCTTCTTCTTCTTCTTCTTCGGGTAACAGTGATTTTATATGGTGTTTGTAAACATATTTTAAGGTAGTTTATGATATTTTACGATAGTGAGATGTTGTGGCGCTTGATTTTTTACTATTGCTTAGGGTTTCTTCTTTTTCTTAATTGTAAAATGGGTTCGTTAGATTTATTGTTGTTTTGACAAATTGATAACTAGGGTTTGTTCTTGATAATATTTGGAGGTTTTGTTTCAAATTTGAGCTCAATTGAAGTAGATTTAGGTATTAAATCGTATATTGGATTGTCAAAATTCAAAGAACAAATTTCTATTTATGGGCAATTTGCACTTTAGGCCTATTTGAAATATGCCTTAAGTGCATGAAAACGTTGGTTGCACTTCAGACCTTTTGGCCTTAAGTGCATCTGAAGTAGGGGTGTTCAAAATCGAACCGAAACCTAAAACCGAACCGAAACCGAAGCTTAATGACTTATTGGTATCGGGTTAACGGTTGATGGGTTTTCAATGTCTTTGCCTTATGTTTTGATGATCTAACAAACTTGCTGTCAAGAACCAGATTGGGAACCTGACACACTTGGGCTACATTGCAAATCAACGGATTCCAGCTAAATGTGAACTGCTATAGCTTCAGGAGATAGAGAACCAGACAAGGACCTGATATACTTGTGGTTTACTCATAGCAGTACGAGGTCAATTGGATATAGCTGGAAGCGACGTGACTGCCTGCACTGTTGCTGCCTGCACTGCACTGTTTCCAGCGGTCATTTGTCCTTTGACCAACTAAAGTGCATACATCATTCAAGTGATGTCATAAAGGTGTATTAACAAGAAGATTATATCAAGACATCACTTGAACAATTGAATACTTCACTTCAAGCATTCAAGACTTCTGAAACAGTGAACTCAATTCTCAAGAGCTTGAAGAACAAAGTAAAACTCTACTACGGACCAGTTCCTAAATCGAGTATTCTGTTGTCCTTAGTTGAGTTGTAACTTTGTGATTGTTCTTATTGTAATTCTTAAATTGATTAGTTAGAAGCAGTACTTAGGAACCCCTCTGTAAAACCATAAACTTTCTGAGTTTGTGTTGTGACTAGAGTTAGTCATAAGTTAAATCACTTGTAACTAGTTAGTGACAAAGTGACTTGTGATTAGTGTATTACAAGTTAGAGTGATTGAAGTCTTTGTAACTAGTGAGTGACAAAGTGGCTTATGATTAGTGTATTACAAGTTAGAGTGAGTGAAGTTTTTGTAATAGAGTCATTACAAAGTGGCTTGTAATCGAGTGTTTACAAGTTAGTGAAGTTGAAAGCCTACAAGTGTAGGTCATGGTTTTTGTCCCCTTGAGTGGGATTTTTCCACGTAAAAATCCCGTATCTCATTTACTTATTGTTTCATTAGTATTCTCAGTGGAAACTTGTAGAGGACCGGGTACTCTATAGTGTGGTGGACTCATATAAACTAACAATTGGTATTAGAGCAGGTTCCTCCTATCAGTCTAACACCTAGGAAGGAACCGTATGGCTGCTCCACCAAATTTTGAAGAAGGTCAATCTACATACAGACCACCCAGGTTCAACGGACAATACGGGTGGTGGAAGACAAGAATGCATGATTTTATCATGGCTGAGGATTCTGAGTTATGGGATGTCATATGCGATGGCCCTTACGTCTCAACAAAGGTACTTGAAGAACTTCCCTTCTTAATGCCAAAAACTAGAAAAGAATACACCGACGCAGACAGGAAAGCTGTGGAGAAGAGTTTTCTTGCCAAGAAGATTTTGGTATGTGGAATAGGACCTGATGAATATAATAGAATCTCTGCTTGTGAAACTGCTAAGGAGATATGGGAAGCTTTGCAAATAGCTCATGAGGGGACCACCCAAGTAAAACAATCTAAGATCGATATGCTTACTACCGAGTATGAACTCTTTGGGATGAAGGACGATAAATCCATTCAAGATATGCACACAAGATTCACTTCCATCATAAATGAGTTACACTCACTTGGTGAAACCATTCCTAGAAACAAGCTAGGGAGGAAAATCCTCAGTATCCTGCCTAGTTCTTGGGAAAGCAAGGTAAATGCTATTACTGAAGCAAAGAACCTGCAGGAGTTGACCATGGATGAGCTGGATGGAAATCTGAAGACCTACGAGATGAAGAGGAAGGTAGACAATGAAAGAAAAGAAATAAAGAAGGAAAGGAACCTGGTACTCAAAGATGATAGCAATGATTCAAATGAGGAAGACAGTGACATGGCTTACTTAACCAAAAGATTTCAGAAGATGGTCAGAAGAAATGGAGGAATGCCAAAAAGGGGCAGCTCTAGCAAACCAAAGAACTATGATCTCTGCCATAAGTGTGGAAAGCCTGGGCACTTCATCAAAGACTATCCTCTCCTGAAGCAAGAGTACTCCAAGTACAACCCTGAGAGAGCAGCCAAAAAGAACCCGGTTCCTGACAAAGACTTCAAGAGGAAGAAATTTGCTGACAATATGGTGAGACAGGTTCTTGCAGCATGGGGACACTCCTCTAGTGAATCTGAAGATGAAGCCGCTGCAGGTGACAGCTCCATGATGGCTGTTGAAAGTGAGAAAAATGAATATGATTCAATATTTGCTTTGATGGCCCAATCAGATGACGATGAAGACGATAACAAAAGTGAGGTAAATTTCAGGGATGTTCAGAGAAATCTGAAATCTTACTCTCCTAAAAAACTCATATCTTTAGCTAGTGTATTGATTGATGCCTATCATAGTCTTGTAGAGGATAAAGATTCTTTGACCTTAGAACTAGGAGATGCTGAACAAACTAGAGATGATTTGGTAGTTTGTGTAGTTGATCTAAAGGAAACCGTTTGTGAGCTGAAGAAAGAAAAATAGGTTTAACCAAAGAAATTGCTAATATAGAACATGAAAGA